GCCAAAACCAGGGGGGTGAAAACGTCGTCTGAAGCTCAGGATCGCGGTTGGTCAGTGGCAATTCTGTGAGAATTACGGACCAGTTGTCATGGAAATGGCGTCAGCAAACGTCGAAATCCGCCATTTTTTTGGCTTCACTTTGATCACTTAACGAAGTATAGGAGCAGGTCCTCCAGTTATTATACAGCTCAGTGTTACGGACCTGGAAAGTTACGACATTAAATCCAACACATTCAAAAGAAATAAAAAGTGGACGTGGTACCTTTACCAATGGGAGAGAATATGGGGTAATTACGGAACCGTTCAAACCTTCAGGCATAACAGGGACTCACTTCCGTACAGAATAACTAAGTTCGAAATTTGTGTTTGTGACTGCATTAACACTTCCCACAACAGTTTTGTCTCCAACTTCGCTGCTCTAGACACAAAATGGACCGGCACCGCAAAGGAGATCACCAAGGTAAAGTTCAATTATATAAACGATCCCTATTTCGCATCGCTACTGGCTGCTTACATTATTACGTACAAGTGTGGGATAAGTACGGAACATCTGCTGGAAAGCAAAGGAACCTCAAAGGTAATCACAAGTATTGCTAGGTATCATCTATACTACCATATGCGTAGGTTCCTTAGAAATCCAAGCAAAATGACGAAGTAACGTAACGAAAGATATGTTAAAGTCCTTGCAGAGAAACATGCCCACACAGAAAACATGGGTTAACAAATTCCATCGAGGACAAACAGAAATAGGTCTTTGGCATAGCAGACTTCCGGATAAAAGTAGGGTTAGAAACTACAGATATTCATACTACCATACCGGTGGTATAATGGGAATTAGCTATCAAGAAGTTGACAAAGTCATTAACAACAGCGAGACGGACTATACCCAATTCATAGCTAAGAAATCAGACGGACTGACACCCTTAGGACTAAAACCACTTCAACAATCTGTCGAAAGTTACGTCTATTGCGTATTAGGTGCGCAAGCACAAACACGTTGGTCTATCGTTGGTAAAGGGGCGAAGTCATTGCAGACTCAGGATGTTTTCCACAAACTTTTCAGAGACACCATTGCGAAAGACGATGTATCGGTATCCGTCTCCAACATGAGAAAAGCGATAAAGGATACTAACGTTGTACTTAACATGGCAATATCACCCGGATTAATATTAATACCATCCAATATGATTATACTTAAGGAAAAAGTAGCAGGATACAACAATACACTTACACTAGCGACAAAGGATATGGAGTTCGGTAGTAATGCAAAAGTTAACTATTCAAAACCGAAGAAGGCAAAGGTGAGTCCAGGGGTAAGTCCAAACCCTACACCGCGCAGAGACCAGAACCCTAACACGGCAAGCGTCCCGATTGCATCAAACAATCTGATCGTTAGTGGAATCGTAACTTCAAGGTGGATTTTCTTTTCGTATTAATAAAGGATGAATAGCGGCAGCAGCAAAGTTAAGAAGAAATTAAAAAAGGATAAAACCATCAACGTTGACATAAACCTTAACAAAGGCGGACTGAATCTCGGTTACATTAAATCCAAAATAACCAACATCAGATACGTTGCGTCATGTAAGGAAGGCAAAGCGGGACCGTCAGCAAAGACCGCAAATGAGGAGAAAAAAAGAAGAATAAATAAAATGGGATGTTTATCCACAAAACCTGAGACCAAGTACGACAAAAACCGCCGGAAAAGAAAAATGTTCAGTTTCGGAATCGGTATAGAACGCGGTGATCTTACCATCAACGCTCACACCCAAATCGGATATGTCAGCGCAACGGTAAAAAAGTACGTTAAAGTAAATGACGAGAACTCAAACATTACGGAGACTAACGTGGACGAGTCTGGTGTTCTGCCTACTCATCCCAATAACGGTTGAGATTCTTCTCGTCATCATCGCCCTAAAATTACTATTTCAATTTTAATGCTTGGTAAAAAGCGTTAAAATTACTCGATATATTCCCAACCTAACGTCTGAAATATTTTTCTACACCGATTGTGGGGAACTCTGCTTTTCGGAATCTTAAGTAACGTCTCATCTATCTCTATGTTAAGTCTTTTATATATTTGGTAAGTTAGGATGTTGAGGTTAGGGAGCCTCTTATTTTTTGGTTCCTCTGCATTATAAATCTCCATAATATTTTGCACTATCTCATATCTTTCTACTGCTGATAAATCAAAATGTAATATATTTCTCCTACAGCAGAAACTCTCAAACCTATAACTGATACTACTTTTGTCCGGATCTCTCATGATTACTCTGTCCCAACAACCATATTCGGAAACGAAGACGGAGGGATCAGATACCAATCCACATTCATTGCACGTCCTTTCCCCCGTTTATATCAATAAACTGGTGTTTACGCATTTCAAAACAAAACTGTTTGTTGGGTACTTCGGTATTCGCTTGTTGTCCCTCCAACTTTTTTAAACCCATGAGATCCAGGTACTCCTTTTCCGCTTGTCTGAAAAGATCCATGTTTCCTTTTATTATATAATAAAGTATTTCTTTAAATAAGTTTTGGGTACCTTGCGATGACCTTGAGATAACCTTGAGTAAATTTTAAGTAGTCCTGAGATAACCTTGGCAGTAGCCTTGAAATTACTTAAGATTACCTTGGGACAATCTCAGAAATATTTTGAGTAACTTTGAGCAAATTTTAAGCAAATTTCAAGTAGTTTTAAGTAGACCTTGGTAGTACCTTGAGACAACCTTAAAATTGCCTTGAAGCTATCTCAGAAATATTTTGAGTAACTTTCAGCAAATTTTAAGTAAACTTTAAGTAGTTTTAAGTAGACCTCGGTAGTACCTGACAGTAACCTTGAAACCATCTCAGAAAAAGTACATATATTAAATAAAGGATGAGCGAGCCAACAATAACAAAAGCAAAGAAGACACAAAAACCTAAGGATCCGAAAAGGGTAGAAGCAGGCAAAAGATTAGCCGCAATATCCAGAGAAGCAAAGGCAAAAAAAGCGGCGGAAAGACGCAGCGCTGAAAGTAATTCCGATCAGGACGGTTCGGTAAATACGCTAATTTACATCGGTGTTGCGACAGCTACGTTAGGAGGAATATATTACGTATACAGCAAAACCAAGTCTGCAGACAAGTCCGATCGTACAACCGAACCACAGACACAAGACGAGCCCAAACCGAAGTTCGAAAAATTTAACAATTAAAAAAATATATTATATAATAAAACAATGGAAAAGAGAAGTCAAGAACTTACGCCCGGTTTCAAAAGGGCACTGACCTCCGATATTGTAGGAAACAGAGTATGTAACTTTGTTACATTTAACCCAAACGAATCCAATCCCGGAAATGACATCCGGATAGTAGTCCCAAAACTGGAACCGAACACCTGTATCGTCCCAGACTCGTTCCGTCTGTCGTACGAGTTCAAAAGCGAGAACGTCAAATCCTGGTTTATGAATAACCTCGGTAAACTTCTGTGTGAACGACTCATGATAAGAGTGGGTGGTGAGATAGTATACGACAATATATAATGGTGAAAGTCTCTGTGGCGAAGTATACAAAGTTCTCTGGAAAATGGATACAAAAAGAGCAAACATGGTAGAAAACGGAATTATGAACGAGAACACAAGAAAGCTATTGTCGAAGGATGACAGCGCTGATATAACTGCAAAGACGGAAGGTGACTATGATCTGGTGATGGCGAAGGTATACAAAGAGCAAAAAATGAAACTCGGAAAAATTCTCAATGACCACGGCCCCTACGCACCGTACAGCATGAAGAGCGGATTCGAGTACACAGTAACTCTTCCAAAAGCCGACAAGATTATGGTTGCACAAGCGAACGAGAAGGTGGAAGGATATACACTGAAAAACATGCATTTGGAATACGAAACCATCGAGAACGAAGAACTGGCCAAACGAGTGAACGAAGGATATGAAGTCGGTAGATCCTTATCCTACGAACACACAACATTGTTGAAAACAACCGTGTGGGCGAAGGATGCTACAAGGTTCAATGAGAGCATAGACGTCCCAAGGGTAAGCATGAAAGCTGTTGTTCTACTCTTCAGAAAAAAAGACAATAACCGACAGCGAGGAATACATCTTCCCAAACATCGAGAAAGTAAAGGTTACGATAGAGGGCAAGCCGAATGCCGTTACAGTCAGGGCTTAACAACGGAAGATTTCTACGACGAAGCAAAAAGACTATTCGGAATAGCAAACAACACCTGTAACGACAACATAAGCGTTAGGAAATTCTACAAAAATAAATTTGCATTGGTGGTTGATCTGAGAGCTGTTGATGACAATCATATCGTTGGAAGTGGAAAAAAGCTTCTCGGTGATAATCCCGGAATTCTTCTGGAGATCGAAACAGACGGGATGTCCGAAGACATTTTCTGTAACATTTTCGTGTTATCGATGGACTTATAAACATCAGCGAAAAGACCCTTCAAGGTATTAATTACTAAATAATAAAAGATGGAACCATTGGAAACACCATTCAACATGATCATTCTCGGAATGACCGGATGTGGGAAAACCTATTACCTACTAAAAATGTTGGAGAACGATTATAAAAACCACTTCGAGCATATATTTCTAATATGTCCCACATACGAATGGAACAAAACGTACCAGGTCTGGAAATACAATAAGGATAAGGACTTTATAGCCATGCCCTGCAAACAGGATGACATAAATCTGTGCTTAAAACACGTTTCCTGGTTCGCAGAAGGAACGAATAGTCTAATCGTCCTCGACGACTGTGCTAGCAGTCAATCCGTCAAAAACAGAACCAGCGAATTTGTAAAACTTGGGTTAGGCGCCAGACACATGGGAATCTCAACCATCGTCATCACCCAACAACTTACGTCCATTGCGAAACCCTATAGAGAGAATATATCTAAACTCGTAACCTTTTACAACCCGAGCGCAAAAGATACGAACATCATATTGGATGATTACTTAGCAAACACGGAAAAAGAAGAAAAAAAGGAAATCATAAATACGCTAAAAAACTACTACGCTAGGCTGGAAATACTATTACGCCGACCCTATACCCACAAAACAATTATTCCGCATATTAAATAAAGGAATGGAAACCATATTCGAATCCATATTCGAAACCATATTCGAATTATGTTATCCGTATCGTAATCTCGGTAACCTTGAATATCTCCAATAGGTCCCCAAATTAAGATTTTAATGCATCTTACATTAAAATTTTTTAATCTAAAGAGTAGCAATACCGCTGACGGGTAAGTTGTTTTCGTACTCACCAGTCTCTCCACCATATCCTAAATAGATTTCCCATACCGTAGGAACGGACACGTAAAGAAGGTACGGAAAACACCCACGACTCCGCAAAACCGTCAGGTCGTCCCAAATTAATACCGAACTCCGGACCGTCCAGCGTGAAGTTGTCTATCTCCCCAAGCGTTATGTCCTCCGGAACGATGAGGAAAACGATGATGCCAATCGGCGGACCGAAAGGGATCGCGTTCACACCCATAATTATGGCATTCGGTTCCGTTCCCGTGTCTTCGAACCTAACGTCAACCTCTTCATCAACTCTTCCGTGTGAAAAGGTGACGCCGGCGTCCGCAAAGTTGGTGTCCCTACACATCTGCAAGATGAACTCCGTCATTTCTTGTATTGTATTAAAACTTTATTTAGAGACACTAGCCCCGTCAACGGTGCGTTGGTTTCCACGGGGGGCGTCTACAATGTTAAAAATTACAAAAGATATAAGGGAAAAGAAGACTATTTACAAATTGGTGTGACCCCAGATGTTATGGTTAGACGGAGTTACAATTTATTTCAAATATATATAGTATTAGAGTTAAGTTTTAAATGGCTTTTGAACAGGTGCATTGATTCTGCCAGTTTCGTATCGATAGAGAGACTATTCCATAGCTTAGCCCCACTGTATTTAAAACTCTTTTTTAGGAATTCTCTTTTAGGCTTAGGAAGAGCCAAATCTGTATGACTATTTCTAAGATCATAATTTGTTTGCATATGATTGCGTCTTATCAAGGATTCTTTCAACGTAGGTCCTACGTAATCCTTCAAGACTTTAAACATTAATATTGCTTTGGTTGTACGTCGTCTTGTCTCTAAATTGTCCCAAGCAAGAGATTGAAGAACATCAGCAGATCTAATCTCATAACTTGCACCGACAATGATTCGGGCTGCGCGATTTTGAAATTTTTGGAGTTTATTTTTCAAATTTTGATCACAGACGCCCCAAATGGGAGAACAATAATCAAAATACGGCTGAATCAGAGCTCGATAAATTGTTTGAAGGGTGGTTATTGGAACAAAGGGTTTAATACGTCTCAAAGTACCCAGGCCTGCTCCAACCTTTTTCCAAATCGCCTGAATATGTGAATTCCAGTTAAGATTTTTATCTAAATCGAGACCAAGACATGTGAAAGAGTGAACTCTGGGGATGCGTTGGTTATTTAACATCACTGGATGATCAAAAGTTGTGGAATTAATATGATGTTTAGAGCCAAAGAACATTATTTTGGTCTTAGTTGGGTGGTGTTGTAATTTATTTCTAGAAAGCCAATCACCGATTCTACTCAGATCGTGATTAAGGTTTTCGGTTAATTCAATCAAACTGTTAGAGCTGCAGCAAATTTGGGTATCGTCAGCATATAAATAAGGAGTAGTTTTTTGAAGGCATTCGGGGAGGTCATTGATATAGAGTAAAAATAACAGTGGACCTAAAATAGATCCCTGCGGAACCCCAGAAACAATCCTTTTTGACGATGACATTGAATTATTAACAATGCAGACTTGCTCCCTATTATTTAAGTAAGACTCAAACCATCTTAACTCAATATCCGATATACCGAATTGATCTTTTAATTTATGAAGCAGAATATTATGATCAATTGAGTCGAAGGCTTTACGAATGTCAAGAAAAACAATGCCGCTCAATTGACCATTATCCATGTTTTCATAAAGAGTATCGCACACCTGAGTTAGAGCGGTGAGAGTTGAATGTTTAGGCCGAAAACCATGTTGATGTGAATTGTCATTAAGAAATTTATAAATTTGATTAAAAACGCATCTCTCAAGTATTTTACTAACAATGGGTAGTATCGAGATAGGGCGATAATTCTCGCATTTCAACCTGTCATCAGATTTATAAATGGGTGTAACCCAGGCTTTTTTCCATTCATCCACATATTCTCCTTTTTTGATCGAAAGGTTAAATATCCAAGTTAATGGCGGACCAACAATGTCCGCGGATATTTTAAGGGCTTTAGCAGGGATGTTATCTAATCCTGTGGATTTTGAAATTTTGAGACTACGCAATTGCTATATTACTTCGTCCTCGTTAATTTCAGAAAATTTGAAAAAAAGATTGGAGTCGGTAATAGGCCTAGAATCTCCGCGAGCAAAAGAATTTGTGTTGGGGGAATTATCTTCAATTTCAGCTGCAAGTTTTGCCCCGATATTGACAAAGAAATCATTAAAAGCCTCAGATTTCAATTTATCGTCTGAAATGACAGAATTATCCGTTTTAAGTTGGGATATCGTGTTTGATTTCACATTTTTACCCATGAGGTGGTTAATTAAATTCCAACTTTGCTTTATGTCTTTGGACTGAGCACAATCTTCTATTTTATTGCAGAAATAGTTTCTTTTAGCTTTAATTAGTTCAGCATTAACTTTGTTTCGTAATTCCTTATATTTTGTCCAATGACTTTGAGAATTATATCTAACCGCTTTTATTTTGTGGAAGTCTCTTGATCTCATTATACCCTTGATGTCTGAAGAAATCCAAGGGAGAGAATTTCCACGAGTTCTCATACGTCTATTTCTTCGGAACATTCAAAGTATAGCTGGACTCTCCTGAAACTCGTCATGATTGTTTTATTTATATGTAATTTTTTTTTGTTGCTAAATTATTCCTAAAGTTGATTTTGTTTTCCAGACCCAAAGGGTATGGAAGTAGGAAAGATGAACAACCGACCGACAAGGACTTGTAGACGAAGTCCTCTTTATTACATAGAAAAATTTTTTACGTCTGAAATGTTACGAACACAATCTCATCGTCGCCGACCTCCTCCTCAAAACCGCTCTCGTCATCTTCATCGTCATCCGATTGTGGATCGCGATGGAGTTCGTCATACCACTCGTCGAACCATGACTTTGTAGGTCTTCCAAGATTCACTCTCTCTCTCCGTTGTCGTCATGACCAATAACACATTCTTCGATCACAACGGTGTTAGGGTCTTCCTGATAGTCCTTGAAGTCCGGATTTATATGTATTAGTATGCTTTCGACTATGAGTGAGGTTGGAGGGATAATGTATTCAATTTTGTTGTCTCCAACGAGGAATATTTCATCTTTTTGCACGGAGGATCCGAATTCCGGAGAGCAGACGTTAGCTCGGAGATATATGGTTGTACTTTCAGATTTTCCGGATCGAACACTTACGAATTTCCGGGATCATGGTCGGACAGTGGAAGGAGAGTTTCATTGTGTTTATTTATATAGAAAACATTTTTACGTCTGAAATGTTGATTTTGTTTTTGGAAGACTTCGTTAATGTTACTTTTCTGTAATGCTTCATCATAAGAATGATAAGATAGAGTGGGATACGCGATTTTTAAAGCTCTTTTTTGCACCGACTCAATAAGGTCTGATAATGTCTTTAGTGATGCATACTCCAATTGGGATCTTATAACTGCACAATAAATATGAACAATGTTTAAAGGGCTCAGTCCAGCTTTCTTTAATAGGCGTAAAGCATAAATGCGTGAATTCGCTTTCTTTAATATTTTATCTACGTGTATATCCCACGAAAGATTGTTGCTCAACCACGCGCCTAGTAGTTTAAAACTGGAGACTCTCTCCACCACATCACCGCCAATAAAAATGTCATTTTCTACTAGTTTACACTTAAGAAACGTAATAAACCATATCTTTGCATTTCTTTTGATTTAGTCTCATTCCTCGTTCGTTTGCATAATCGGATATTTGGTCCACTATATTTGGTAGGAAGCTATAGGTGAACATCGTGGGATTATAAGGCCGTAGTATCATCGACAAATTTGACTCTCCCAGGCCAATCCTTGAGCAAAGAATTTACAAGGACTGCAAAAAGCAGCGGTCCTAGTTTTGTTCCTTGTGGTAGGCCACCGTTTGTTTTCTTCCACGACGAATATGAGTTTTCAATTCGCACACACTGTTCACGATTGCTAAGAAAAACTTTGATCCACCTCACTATGGCAGGATGCAGAGGAGGAATGAGGGTCTTCCCACAATGCATTGCGTCTGATTATTATTCACAATTACGATTTTCAACAAACGTTTGGCGAAAAGTTGTTGAAATACATTGCGATTTTGGCTTCGTATATCTCGTTTTTTCGAAGGTATGTTTTTATATTTGTATTATTTAAGAACCTAATTAAACTATTTTTGACTTATTTGGTACAGGAATTGCTTTTTAGTTATACTAATTACGTACTGTAATTATGCTTGTTCCGGGTCAGTGGACACGCCAATAAAATGACCTTGATATAATGCAGAAGCAAATTCACTTTTTTTTTAGGAAAATAAAAACAAAACACGTCATCGAATTCGGGAAGATTTATTCTTTCTACTGTTACTTTAAAACATGAATTTGCTCCACTAAACCGACGAGTAATCGCGGTTTGAAAATGGGGTACTTTTGCTATATTCTATCGCCGATGGCGGGAATAGACCGCCTGATAATCATCATGGCGCGAAGGAAATTATTGTACTATAACCACTATTTTCCATGATAATTTTGAAACATACGCATATATATTCGTACATATTTCCCCCAGGGAAACCTAATAATAAAAGACACAGAATTTCTCGTTTGAAAAATTCAACATCAAGCCGAACTTTGTTTCAGAGTCCAAAGCCAAGGTGTATTTAAAAGTACAAATGTTTTTACAAACATATTAAAAATACAGTATGATTACACAAAAACATTGTATATTTTTAATGAAACAATATGTTAATAATGGGGGCTTGAGTTATTATCATAGTGACAGTAACATTGTATTTTAATGCTTTTTTGCCTGGGAGAATTTCTGTCCATAGGCATATGAGGCTGGGGGGGGGGTTGCAACCCCTCCAGTCAGTGTTTAGTTGGGCAGAATTCTGCTTTAAAAATTGGGCAATTGTTTTAAGATTGACTTTAAACAGTATTTCTGCTAGTCTGTATAGGAGATGTATTCCTTCTATTTTATACCTCTTGTTCACAAACTCATGACAATGTTGGGCAATTTCTATCCACCCGTACACCAACATTATTTTTCAATGCTGGGCATTCCAGAAAACCTATAGTACACAAATTTCCTGGAGAAGCATGCACACAATCCTGGTAAAAATCCATGAGTTTCTTTGTTGTTGTCTAATTGTGCTGGCACTAACATTGCCCCTCTCACTTTTGCTGTTTGTTTTGTAGTTTCTTATCAGAAAGATTTAACGACTCCTCCAAAGAAATTCCCAGTTAAACTTCATAAATGGACATTTAAGGAAGATAAAGCATTCATTGAATTCATATCTGTTGCAGAAAATCATGCAAATCATTACGATTGAAGAGGTTTACCAATTATGTAATACCTCTAGATTGTTTTAATACATCATTAA